GACTTTTCAGAAATTTGTTAACATAAGTTAAATTAAAGTATTCTAAAGCAACAATGTAAATAATGTAATACTGTAAAATATAAATATAGTAAAGGTAAAAAGTAAATAAATTTCAGAATATATCTGATGTCAAATTATCAATTCAAAACAAAATTAAAGAATGTATGATTCGCTAGAAGTTTTAATTTGCTTTTCTAAATATATGTTTTGTAAATTGATATTAATTTAATTAAACATTATAAATAAAGACTAGAATATTTGTTACTTACTAATCTTTCGTTTCTTTCACTTCTTTCGCTTCTTTAAACTAATTGAATTTAAGATTTTTAAGCTTTTAACGAAATTTTGTCTCAGCGTATCTAAATCAAGCTCATGTCCTTTTAAATTATATTCTAAGATAAGAAAAATAAACGATAAAAAATTAATATATAAATAAATAAATAACGAATCTACTAATAAAATCTTTCATAAAAGAATATGTTTTATAAATTGATAATAACTTAAACATTATAAATCATTATAATAAAATACTAGCAAATATTTGTTACTTACTATCGTCTTGGATTTTATCCTTTATTTCTTTAATCGTTAGCATCTTTGAAATATTTGGATTTGAAATTACATTCTGATCATTCTGATGTTGTGCATTCATAGTATAATTTGCATTTATTGCCAATGAGCTAAACGTATTAAAAAATAAGGTTATGATAATATCTTTTTAAGGAAAAGTTGTTTCAAAAATATTAGATTACCTTAGTGTATCTATATCAAACTCATATACTTTTGAAATATATTCTAAGATAAAGATAAGAAATATAAATAATATAAAAAATTTTATATATAAATAAACAAAAAATGAATTTATTAATATAATCTTTCATAAAAGATTAATTCAAGATTGAAAATACCTTCATTTTTTGATTTCTCAAATTTATTATCTAAAAAATAATTATTAAAGATAATGATAAATTTTTAGGATCAATCATAGAAATATTATAAATACCTTGCACAAAATTTAATGGACTCATTAATGATCTAGACCAA